GGTAAAATTACATGTAACTAACCTAAAACACGCAACTCGACTCCAACCTAGGAACGAGTGATACCCCAATTGGAATTTCACTAACATTGTCCTAGGGAACATGGATGGCGTAGTAAAATTTGTTAAACTAGGTACGGACGTCGGAGTGGCAAAGTGCTACTATCATCTCTCTAAAGGTAGGAATCTCTAAGCAATTTTCTAAGTTTAGGTCGGCATCAACTTAAACTAAGTACTAACTTAAAATTCAGATGTATGCGGTTGAGCACATCATTGAGCGAAAATTTGATTAAAGCACTCAAATCCCAATAGTTGGCAATTGAAGTACTCTTACAAAACAGAGGATTAGCATTCCAATATCTAGGCTAGTCCTCAATCGTTCTCAAATTCAAATTCGCGAGTACCTCATCTTATTGTTACCTTTAGTATTTACAAGGACGATCATCTTCGTCGCAAAATCTACTTAGTGAATTAGCGATATAAATGGACGGTTTTCATCTAAGACATGGAGTGTTCGGCCAACCAGACTTTAGTTTGGCATTTAACTTGTATTTGGGAGACACACAATTGTACTTTTTTTAGCAATGACATGTGTCAGATTCAAAATTCATACATTGTAGTTTAACATTTTTAGCCCATGAGTCTTGGTTTCGATCATATATAGGCAAGTTTTCGGTCAGATTTCGTGCCCAAACACTAGATACCACGTACCTATATCATTCTGTTCGGTCCTTGTCCTTTTTTTTCCTCACTTTTCCCATATGGTCCCACAGCTCAGTTTCCTTCCTGTCAGGGCCCCACAACATCCTCCATCACATATTGTAGTAATGAGTATGTGGGTATTGGTTTTACATTATTAGATTTATGGAAGATAAATAAAAAAAAATATTGGCCTTGTTTGTTAACCTTACATTTTTTTGTTTTTATTTCCTTTTTTTTAATGAGAAAAGATCGAGTGGTAGAGCATCAACATCCATAAATTAAATTTAATAATGATAAAACTATATTTTATTTATATTTTGTAACAAATTAGAAATAGAAACAAGAGACTTAGGACATATTTGGTAATGTTCCCGATTCTTGTTTCTTATTTCCAATTTTATTAAGAAACCTAAGCATTTGACACTATAGAAATTTTGGAAACAATAAAAATAGGTTTTTTTGTTTATTATTCCCGTTTCCAATTTGATCCAAAATAACATAAATAAAAATATTGTTCTATCATTCTTGAATCCATAGGTGTTAGAATCATGCAATTTTATTTTTCTTTATTAAAAAAGAAGCAACATAAATAAGAAATGGAAAGTTGTCAGGACGGTCCTTATTTTTTTGTTTCCAAAATTTCTACACAATTTCGAGGATGTTTCTAAAAAAATGAGAATCAAGAAACATAAATAGATATCAAATATTTAAATTTCTGAAAACGAAAAATAAAAAATGAGAACATTACCAAATAAGTCCTTTTAACTCCTCCTTCGAAATTTCACCTTGTCGTTTCTTTCAATGAATTGAACCACTACAACTCTCTATTTTCAATCGGTTCATCCATTTTAGCATTCCATTATCAAATGAATAGGGATGTTACCAAATTATATCTAAAATGGAAGCATGATTGAATTTCATCTTTGCCCCCCATCGAACATCTATGAGACCACTCGAGAGAATTTTGGTCGAAGCACTGCAAATCAACCATCCAAAACTCGATTTAGATTGGGGATTGTGCAGAACGTATAACTCGTCGGACAAGTAAGATTGTATAGAACGTATCTTGTCAGATAAGTAAGATTGTGTAGAACGTAATTCTCACACTAGACCTCTTCTCTTATTTATGATACGAGATAAGAAAATCAAAATCAAAATGGTTATCAATAGAGTCATAGTTATTCATTCACCATAATCATAATAGTAAGTAGAACAATATTTATGAGGGAAATTCGAACTTAAGACTTTTTCTTAGTACAACAATTTGGGGATATGGAGGTTGAACTTCTGACCTCGAAGAGAGGAGTACATGTCAATCATCACGAAATTATGTTCATGTTGGCAGCTTAAGACTCTTTAGTCATAGATATATGCATTAACCAAGTAAACTCAGGTTGTTCATGATTGTAAGTTATTTAACTTGATATCATTTGAACAATAATTATAATAATCATCATAGGTGTTTCCGTTTTGTCATACTTGGTAATTGGCATATGTCTCTGACCAACGGATCATGAGTTCAAATCTCCCACTTGCACTTTGAACTTATATATATAGATCTTGTCTTTCAATTTTTTTAATTAACTATTTAATTGAAACTTGATAATTGATATAGACACGTCTCTTGTTCATTTATTAGATGAGAGGAGACATCTACCCGAACAAGCGTTCTTTTTAATATTATAACTAGACAGAGATTCAAACATCTAACACCTTTAAAATGGATGTATACTAATTTCATCAGTTAAGTTACCGAAACTACAACTAAAGTTATGATATTTAATTTCAAAAAAACACTTTAGATTTCTCTAGAATAATTAATTAATTAGGAATTAACTTTTTCTTTAAAAGAAAAAGCCTTTGAGAGACTAAAATTGAACGATTAGAAAATTTTTAAGAACCAAAATGAATTCAATGTAAAAATTTTACATATCAAAATAAGATTTAAACCATACTTTGTGCAACCACACTTCCTACTCTTTTAATCATCCACATAATTTTGATTCTTATTTTCACACTTCCTACTCTTTTAATCATCCACATAATTTTGATTCTTATTTTCAAAGTCCTAACACGAACTCCTTAAAACCCTTTGATCAAAAGCTACAACAATATTTCAATAACTTTATTGAGTGTAGTGTTCGGTGAACTGATAAAAATAAAATAGGCAAAAAAAAATGACCACTATTGTCACTATTTTAAAGTTTATAAAGACAAAAATTAACATTTTGAAAATGCATGAACCAAAATAAATAATAAAAGCTTAAAGTACATGGATGAAAATAGATATTTTTGAAGCAGGTAAGAATTAAAATATCTGAAAGCTACAAATTTAGGATCCATTTAGTAACCTTTGTTCTCATTTTCCTTTTGTCAATTATAATAAACAAAATACCATTTGGTAATTGGTTCTTTTTCTGTATTGAAAAAAAAAAACATGTTTTATAACTATTTCTGGTTTCTTGTTCTCACATTTTAAATTAAAAAGATAAACATTATATTTGAAAATTAAAATTTCAAATTAAATATTCACAATTTTTATTTTACATTTATTTTTTGGTATTTTGTATGCATTTAATAAGTCTAAAATAATAATAATGTAGGAACAAAAATAAGTAAAATAAAAAACTTGATTTTGCTACACAATTTTTGAAACGCTTCTTAAAAACTTGAAACGTGAAATAGGAATGCAACCGTCAAATCTTTATATTTCAATATGAAATAAGAATGCAATTGTCGAATCTTTATATTTCTCAAAGATTAAAACAATAAACAGAAACGTTATCAAATACAACCTTTCCACGGGCAAAATATAGAAGTTTGGCAAAAGAATAATAGTGAAAGGCAACAAGTGGAGTCCAATAATTTTACCTGTCCAAGAGAAGCTTCCCATCCCACACGTGCCATGTCGCACGCTTAAACAAAGTCTTTTCAATTTCTATAAATTGATGGGAGGCCTCACCTCACCATTCACACAATGACACAGCCAAACAACAAAATGAACTCAAGCATAGGTACCTACCTTTCCATTTTTTTCTTTTTTCCTTTTTTTTTTTTAAATTTCTCTATGCTTCATCTGACTTTTATTTCGCTTCTATTTTAGTTTCTAAACTCTGTTTCTTTCTATTTTATTCTCTCTAAGTATCATTAACCTTCATACTAAATCTACAACGTAAAAGATAATGAAATTTTGATGAGAGGAGAACTTTAAAGTTTTCTTTTTTTGGTATGGAATACCTTTTTGAATTTAGGTAGGGGATCTTCCCCTCCCTCTTTTCTTGGCTTTGTCTCAATCGGTGACTGGGATATATTGCATATATTTTTTTATAATATATTCAGAGGTTTCTTTTTGTTTTTTCAGATGCGAGAGTGAATTCGATGCGATGTTTATCAAGTAAGGAGCCCTCTACTGCAAATCACATCCTTTTGTTCTCGTTGTCTGTTCGACCTTGTACCTTTTTTTTCGTCAAATTAAACCAAATTCATTTTTTACACCCACCTCAAAAGTTAACTTATACATTATTAATTATAAGAGAATTGTTTCAAAAATTCTTTTTTTTTTTATGAAAAACCCCTAAACTTTTGGCTGGATTCATTGGTAGGTAGGAACTTAGAAGCTAGCCAAAGTTGTGATTTTTAGGTAGGTAAACGTGCGCACAAAGGTCTTGGTACAGGGATGCGTTTGAGAGTGATTTTTTAACTATTGACTTTATTTTAGCAAAAGTAATTTTTAATTATCAGGGAGAAATTTCATTTCAATGTGTTTTTTAAAAAATGTCACAATTTCTCTTTTTTTTCAAATATAATATAAGTGTGACTCACACTTTTCAGGTGATAACTAATTCTTAATGCTAGTTATGTGACCATGTTGGATGTTATTTAGATCTTTATTTTGAGCACTTATTTTACCAAATTTGGTTGCTAGGTTCTGATATTTGTCTGATTTAATTATTAGTTGGTTCTTGAACAATTTTCTCATTTAATTTTGATGAAATATATATTAATTACATCCCTTGTTGATGGTCAAAGTTTAAGTTGATAAAACACAAAGTCTACATTTTTCTTATATAAAAGTTTTAAAGTTAAAGTTTAAAAATTGAGCACTGTAAGAAATTATCTTTTAATTAAATTAATTATTTGACAAAAATCTTAACTCAATTAGTTAACTTAAAATTTGACATACTGCATGATTAACTACTTTATGAAAAATAATGACAATAACTAAAATAGTTTTTTTTTTTTTTTTAATGTGCGTCGAACCACTAAAACAAGACATTTTTAAAAGGTTATGCACTGAACAAAATAAGGAAAATAAAAAGGTTGGAAGTATATAGTTATTTTAGAAAAGAACTTCCATCTTTTTATGAATTTCATCATTTAATTTTGTGTGTGTATGAATCTTGGTCGTGTTTGGACAAATTGAGGTATTAGGTTGAATAGACAATGAACACAAGGGATTAGTAGAAGGCTATTTATTTGATAAAGGATTTGCATGGAATTCAATGCCTCCAATTTATCAAGACTTCGAGACCGTCTTACCCGTAGGTGAACAGCCTCAAAATCGATCTCGAGAAGTTATCCAGTATGTTCAGTGCAACGTGATTGTTATTTTTATATTATTATCAAAGGTCGTTTGTTTTGTTGGGAATCTAAAATTCCTATCAGATGAATATTTATATTCATGTGAACTTTGTTTGACAGGAATGGTGGATATTCAGACATGTTCTAAATGTCTGAACATCTTGAGATGTTCATGCGGAAGGTATATATCCTATAACATAAATGTATAAAGATTTAAGATTTAAGACGTTTATAATTACATATAATTAATATTTCTGGCATCTATATCTAGATTTTCGAAAGAAAAAAAAAATGGTCCCTAAATGTATGTGAGATTTTTTTATATACCAAACATTTAACGGTTATGAGAATAATGTTATACTATATCTCTCCTCTCTCTGCCAACATGAGCTTAGCTCAGTGTTATTGATATATATCTTCAATCATGAGATTGTGTGTTCAAATCTCTTACTCCACTTATTGTACTAAAAATATATATATCCCTCCTCTCTTGAAAAAAATTTATATTTCGTGGGTCCACATATTTATTGTATTCACTTTTCTCCTCTTACCTTTTTTCTCACATGATTAATGAGACACATAACTTTTTTTTAATTGTTTTATACTTTTTTATTTCTTTTTCATTTATACTACTAATAATTTTTCTTTTTAGTAAAAATTTATATCAATGATATTATTATAAAATATTTAATTGTTATTTAATATTTAATTTTTTAATTTAATTTTGTTATTATTAATTAATGTTAGATCTTCTAAAATATAATTCATTATTATTAATTATTATAATAATAAAATTTAATAACATTAGTATTAAATTTTATTATAATAATATTTTATATTAAATGAAGATGGTTTTAATAAAATAGTATTTTAGTGGATGTAATTTTATTTTAATTATTTATTATTTATTAATATTAATATTAAATAAATTATTTTGGTAAAAAAATATTTACTATCACTAATATAGTAATAAAATAAATTATTATTGTAATTAAAAAAATTAGCAACTTTGTGATTAGTTAAAAAGAAGACGTGGGTATAATAGATATTGTCATATATCTGATTCCGATTTCGATTCTAGACAGTTTTAGTAAACAGCATTAAAGGAGTTCTGATTCTGATTCTAGAAAATTTCTGGTAAACAACACCAAAGGAATAATATTTTCATTCCGATTCATTTTCATTCTGATTCTAAACAGGACCTTAGTTTTTTCAAATATAGCACTTTTAGAGAGAAAAAAAAACGAAGGTCCAATGTTCGGGGTTTTGGAATGATAGAGCGCAAGTGTACACTCGTCACAAGTAGTAAAACAGAACGAGTATTCCGAGTATCGATCCTCAGGGACAAATGAAGTCCTTTTAATGAAAATGATGTTGATTGGTGACTTTTGTAGTTGATTTTGGGTTAACAAATGATAAGGATAATGTTGGTTTTGATATTGTTTATGCAAACAATTGCACAACGCTGTTAAACGAACCAAGCTCGAACCCGGTCTCCGACTTGACCTGAACTCAAGAGTGAACCTGCACAAGAGGGCAAACTCTCCGACGCTCAAGTCAGTTATGATCGGACTCAATATTAAGTTCGAGGTGAGATTCGATACCTGAGCATGAAATGAGGCCATCTATTTATAGGTGGCGGGTCCAATAGTACTCACGACCGGCGGTTACCTTTGTCTTTTTCTCATGTCGAACCTGTCGGGTTTGAGCAGATCGAACCCGTCCAGGTCGAACCGGGGCTTTTTACACTTAGCCTTATCAATGGGTGAACCTAATCTCCTCGGCAGGTTCGAGGTGGACCTGGGATATTTTATTCATTGAACACCAATGAGCGTCCTCCACGTGTCCAAGGTATTTTTACCCCCAAACAGATATTTAAAGACTTAATGCAATGAACCCAGCCTAGTTACTTCGAATTAGCTAAAAATACAACCATTTTTTCCAACTAGGCGCCTAGAAATTTTTTTCAATTTTACTTCGTCATCTTCTTATGTCTAAGTGATTTTGAAGGTATAAAATCATTCCTAATATGTCTATTAGAAAAAAAAAAGATATTAGTTTAATCAAAACCAACCATAACCTTAGGTCGAGGTCCTATGTCTAGACTACTCGAGCGAAATCTTTATGTCTAAAGTATTTCTCTCCAAAGTTAAATCATTAAAGTTGTGAAAATATATCAACTCTTTCAGTATTGATGTTTGGTTAAAACATTAATTAGCCAAATCAAGTTTTTAACTTATGAAAACAACTTTAAGTGATAAAAGATAAGAAAAACGTCTTTTGCCTTATTGGATTTTTGAAAACTTTAGCTAACTATCCATAACCGGGCTTGAGAAAAATAAATTTAGCTCATGACGATAAAGGAAAAACAGAATTTAACGTTGATTGAAGTAGACGACAGGAAGATGAGTAGAATTAAAACAAGCTGGAAATGGTGGAGTTGTAATCTGAATGACCCTAACCCGTTCTCTTTCAAGATTGGGGAGTAACACTTGGTCGATTCCTCAAGGTTGAGTGATTACAACTTCGTAACGAGAGATAGAGAAAGAAATGAATATCAAAGAACTTGCTGGAATTTTAATAAAATACGATCAAACTTACAATTCAAGACTAACAAACTCGAAAATAAAGAATGAACTTGAAATAAGCAAAGTTTAAAACAATAACAACTCAAAACTTAAAAGGAAAACGTAAATAAGCTGAGAGTAAAATGTCTAAAGCTAAAATGGTCACTTGAGGATGATGATTGAGGTGAATGAGCTGCTGAATTTATAGGGACTTCAAGGTGGTTAGGAGGTTGAGAGTTTTGTGGAGAGTCATCCATTTCAAACACCTTTTAGTTGGTTTGTTGTTAAATTGGCAATCTCCAATTCATTGAAGACACGTGGAAGAGCTTGGAGAAGCGTCAAATCACACCAAAACGTGTGTTTGACATTAAGGGCAATCTCGGGATTGGGGAAGGTGCCAGGCGCCTAGCTCTGCATTTTTCTGCACAAAATTGTAATTTCCGATTAATCAACTCTAAATTATGTAAAAACGCCTTATATGCATGTATAACCTAAGATAACTCCAAATGAAAGGTTTTGGACACTATAATAAGCTTAACGTTTCTGAGTTTAAAACGTAAGAAAACAGCACCAATTTAGCTTCTTTTTACCCTTATAAATAAGGGAAATCATCCAATTTTAAAATGATAATTTTACTCAAATGATATAATTCTGTAATATGTTTATAATATATCTGTAATATATCTAACTACTAATATATGTATGTGATATACATCTGATATACTCCTGATATAAGTGTCTAATATACTTGCAATATATATATGATATACTACTGATATACTACTTTGATGAGTATCTGTACAATATGTATGTGATATATATCTCATATAATACTGATATGAGTATCTGATATACTACTGTATGAGTATCTGATATATTATTGATATGAGTAAAATTTTTGCTATATTTAAAAATTTAAAAAATAGGTGACATATTTTCAAATACATAAAAGATTTTTCTACCCACCACAATTTTTCTAAAAAAAAATAAATGTCTAAGTCTAAAATAATTTTTAGGAAACCCGAAGAATTTTTTATTTCTAAAATATTAACAAGTATGGTAATATTACAAATTAACGTTTTAGTAAAACATATAAATCGTTGGTTCATTTAAATAATGATAATCAATGTGTCTAAATTTAATTCCAAAGTTATTGATTAAATAACTAACCTAAATATTGATTAAATTCAATCATAATATATGGCTGATTAATTCAATATTAATTAACTATAATCTTTATTTCTAGTACAACAAGTGAGGTGGAGATTCGAACAGACATCCATTGGCTAAGCTCGTATTGGCAACTATAATCACTATTTACATTATATTGTTTTAGCTATTATTTCTTAATGTTTTATATAAACTATATGATATTATAGTAACTCCATAATTATTCACGAATGATTAAAATATAATATTTAAAATATTATCAAATGAATTTAGATCAACCATGATTGACACATGTCTTGGATCTAAATTCAAATTCCCTCACTTACTCATTGTACTTGGAAAAAGAATATTTAAAATTAAAAACTAAAACGAAAAAGTATACGTAACTAAAATAAGGCTTAAAACTTAATTAAATTGAATAATCTTTATAAACCTTTAGTATGATTTTTCGATTAATTTTGGGCAAATACCTGAACTGATGGATTTTTTTTTCCCTATTGACATAACGTTATTATTCTAAAAATAAAACAAATTATTTTAGAATGAAAATCAAGGATTATTAGAATTTCAAAAACACCACCTCAACGAATACAATTCATAAAATAATGGAAAGAGTTTTTTTTCTTTTATATAAATATAATGGTAAGTAGATGTTGATGCGTGGATCTCGATCCTCCGATTCTCCTCCTCGCACCCACCAAACTTGTTGATCCGGGACTAGTACCTGCAAAACCAAATCGAGCTAAACCGGTGTGACTCTAGTCACACGGGCTCCGATGCTTAAGTTAGTAAGAGAACAAGGTAAATGTAGTCACTTCTTCGCCCCCCTTACCTCTAAGGCTGGATCGCTACTTATAGCGTGGAGTTGTTCCAGAACTTTCCATAGCTAACCCTAATTCACCGTTGCAGGGCCTGGGTGGAATCGTCGATCGAAGATGGGGGATCGTTGGCTGGG